ACACACACACACACACACACACACACACACACACACACACACACACAATGGGGCCAAAGTGAAGAACACTGACTGAGGACCTGAGTTCAGGTCTCAGGCTTTGGGAGGCTCACACCACTTATAACTCCAGCTCCAGGGGATCTGATGCCCTCTTCTGACCTCTGTGAGCAACTTCACACCTTCACTAATGTGGACAGACAGGGACACACACACACACACACACACACACACACACTCAAAGAGAGAGAGAGAGAGAGAGAGAGAGAGAGAAAGAGAGAAAGAGAGAGAGAGAGAACCAAGCACTCAAGTGATTTGAAAGTAACAATAAATCTTTTTAAAAAAGGAAAAGCAGGAGAAAAACACTAAAAACTCAGAAGGAGAACTTTTTTTCCAGCCGGCCCCTGTCATACCATTTCATCTGGACAAGGGCACCTTCTCACACACTTTTTTTAAATTCATTTTTCATTTTACATACCAATCCCAATTCCCCCCCACACCTCCTTCCTTCCCACCCCACATCCACTCCTCAGTGAGGGTAAGGCCTTCCTTGGGGAGTCAACAAAGTCTGGCACACCAAGTTGAGGCAGGATCAAGACCCTCCCCTGATCAAGGTTGAGCAATGCATCCCACCATAGGGAACGGGCTCCAAAAAGCAAGCTCATGCACCCCAGAATAGGTCCTGGTGCCACTGCCAGGGTTCCCCCAACAGATCAAGCCCACACACCTTTTTAATGTCACCAGCAAAGAACCCATAGAACACCACATTCTAGACCTAGATGCCTTTGGAATTCTTCAGATCCTGGCAAGAGTTCAGTAAAGAATTTAGGGCTCTGCCTTTGGGGGAGTGTGTGGTTGTTTTTTTTTTTTTCATTTCCCCCTCGTGGAGAGCTGTTTGCATCTTCCCCACCCAGGTAAAGTGGTCTATTTGCATAAACATGATCCTTTTGGAAGGTGCTCTGTGATTTCCAATCATCCCTAGAAATAGAATCACAGCTCCTGTCTCACCTTCCGTTGAAGTGTTTTCACACTTTAGGGAATTGCTTACAGCCACCTGAATGTAGAATTGGGTAGGTGTTCAGTTCCAAACTGATACTACTCACAGCTGTCTTCAGGACTTCAAAAGGGTGTCAAAGCGGCTTTGGAAGGTGTTTCTGAGGACACATTGTGGGATACTCTTTGCCCGTCAAGCCATGGGGCAGCACCCTGAGGATTTCCCTGAGGGTAGATGTTCCCAGGGCCTTTTCCCGAGAATGAAGTGGCTATGGACTATTGCTGCCCTGGCAGGGAGAGTGCATTGCAGTGAGAGGGAAGCAGGGTACCATGGAAACAACTTCCTTTCTGAATTTCACTATAATAGCAAGATAGGGAGAAATGTATTTCTGGAGCAGAAACAACTCTAGTGAAACAGCGTGGTTTTACAGGAAGCACGGTTGGGGATGTAGCTCAGTGGTAGAGCACTCACCTCGTATGCACAAGGTCCTGCATTTGATCCTTGGCACTTCTAACAAATAACATGAAACTGGTATTGGACTTCAGCCTCATTTAACAGTGACCTTGTGATCAGCACATACATAGCCTTTCTCCATTTCTTTTCTTTATATGCCCCCCATGCACAAACACGCCACACACTCCCCCAAAGGCAGAGCCCTAAATTCTTTACTGAACTCTTGCCAGGATCTGAAGAATTCCAAAGGCATCTAGGTCTAGAATGTGGTGTTCTATGGGTTCTTTGCTGGTGACATTAAAAAGGTGTGTGGGCTTGATCTGTTGGGGGAACCCTGGCAGTGGCACCAGGACCTATTCTGTGTGCGCATGTGTGGTGTGTGTGTGTGTGTGTGTGTGTGTGTGTGTGTGTGTGTTCATATGTATGTGCGTGTGGAAGCTGGGGGACAATCTTAGGTATTGGTCCTCTCCTTTCACTGTGTTTGAGACAGGATCTCATATTCTTCAAAGCTTCCTACACTAGGCCAGATGTTCCAGTTGCCTCCAGGGATTCTCCAGTCTCCACCTCCTTTTTCAACCTAACGGCACTGGGGTTACAGATGTACCCTGCCACTCCCAGTTTTTGACTCAGACTCTGAGGAATCAAACTCAGGTCCTCACAGGGCAAGTACTTTATCCACTGAGCCATCTCCCTATCTTAGTCTCAGTTTCTTGATCTGTAAAGTGGGCATCACCCATGCGACCTAAGCTAGCTGCTAAGGTACAGTGACAGACTGCATGTCAATTTCTCCTCATCAGTTTCCTTGCATGGCTGCAGAATTTTATCAGGGACCACAAGTGGGCAAAAAGAACTGATGTGGCTTCTTCAAATCCCTAGTGTACGCAGCCAACCATATGGGAACCATCAAGGCAGATGCTGGAGATGACAGCAATCTTTAGCCTTGAAGTCCCTAATGAGAGGTGCTCAGCTGCCTGTGACAGTAGTCAGGTCTTTCTGGATGGAGATGCTTAGTTCTGAGCTGCATCACAGCCCAGTTATAATTGGGGCTGACATCACTTCAAGATGAGTTTCCCAAAACATTCTCCATCCTTAACAATAAACCACACACACACAAACTGATAGGTGATCGATCGATCGATAGATAGATAGATACATACATACATACATACATACATACATACATACATACATACATAATACATACATACATAATACATACATACATACATACATAGATGTAATTTTTTAAAAAAAAAGAACCCCCACCTTCCAGCATCCTGTGGTCCTCCTACCAGATAGCGTCAGAGAAGCCCTATATCTTTCTGAGTGGGCAGAGGACCCACCATCAGAAACCTCACCTCCGCCTCCATCCACTAGAAGACCTTGTTCCATGATAGCACAGCCACGTGGGCATTTCATAATCGCTGTGCTAATGACAATTCTATCTTGGCTTTAATTCATATGTGATAGTTGCATTATTGATTTTGTGCCCCTCGAATATTAAACAGATAAAGTCACAACTAATGCGTAAGTAATGAGTTTGACTTTGGTGTCTGCCTCCAATGGGAGCCGATTTTTCTCCAATATTAATAACCATATCATTCCGTTAAAGATTTCAGTAGGCTAATGTGACATTTCTCTTTTGTTCTCATTTGTTTGTTTTGTTTTGTTTTTAGGGTCAAGTTGTGTTCCGGAACGGAGAGAGAATGGGAACCATTAAATTTACTCAATTTCAAGGTAGGCTTTTTGATGCTTATTCTTTCCAGCTGACGGCATTTATATTCAAGGATGTTGTGTTTCTGCAATAAAAGGCATCAGAAGAGATGGAAATCTGATATGAGATTCCAGATAAAACAAGAGTCGATAGGAAACGCTTCCCCATGAGAACATGAGTTACAGCTATGTGGAAAATTGTTTCTCAAATGCCTGACTCCTCAAGCCTACCCTACCCCCATGTGACTCCCAGGCTTTCAGAAAAGGGGAGCATGGGTAAGTCAATAGCAATATGCTGAGAAGCCTGCATTGTTTCAGGATTTGATCATAGAAGTGTTCAACAGACCCCAAAATAGACAGGCCAATGCAATGATCCCCACCTCTCCATCACCCAGCCGAAGCTACTGCCTGCATTTTGT